ATTCCCTGCTTTGTCCAAACTTTTCACGGTTTATCTCTTTTTTGTCAAATTTAAATTTACTTGATTTTATCCATAAATAAATCTACAAATGGCTATAAAAATTTACTTATTTTATGAAAATACTGTTTCTTAAGTTCATATAAATATAGATTGTATTACTTGCTGTCGTACAGTTTTCTGTTTATACTAATACATTTAACTGGGTATCTACCAAACGGGAAAAACTGTAAAAAGCTGGGAATATGCCGAACCGGGAATTTTCCTATCAAATTAAGAAAAGGTTTCATTATATTAATTCGCTTTTAAAAAATTGCTTTTTACTTCAATTTTTATTGATGTATAATATTTATGAAAACAGACCCGAGTCAAAATTTAAGCCCTACTTTCAGCCTAAAATTTAGGTCTTATGTTAGGTTTTAGCAGTCGTAACGTAGGGTCTACTTGCGATACAATTAGTTCCAATTAGACTCTACTATAACTCCAAAAACTGTATGGAAAATTTAATTTTTTTAATACATTAATTAAAGTACTACAAATTGATAAATATTGTTCTCTGCATTTGAATTGGTTAAAATAACTAATTTGATAACAAAAAGTCAATCACTGATTCAAATAGTAATATTTTCCTACTAAAATAGCTATAATGGTAACTAATTATTATTTTTTTCCGGTCAAATTAAATTCCCTAGCTATTTCCTGATTTTCCAGATTGGTAGAAACTTAAATGTATTGGTAGAAACTAAAACCCGTCGAAGACGGGTACGACAGCTAGTTATAAATAAAATATTAAAATAAAATATTAAGAATAAATATTAAAAATAAAATATTAAAAATAAAATATTAAGAATAAAATATTAAAAATAAAATATTAAAAATAAAATATTAAGAATAAAATATTAAAAATAAAATATTATAAATAAAATATTAAGAATAAAATATTAAAAATAAAATATTATAAATAAAAAAATAAAAAATAAAATTTTATAAATAAAATATTGAAATAAAATATTTATATTATATTAATATATTAGGTATGTAAAATAATATCAATTTTGATAAAGGTTCACTGTAATTTTTTTATATAAATCATTGCTTTTAATATTATATTAATATTTTTTCATCTATTTCATTTTCATGTATAACCAAAATAAATGAAAAGTTTTAAAAAATTTCTATTTAAATATGTATTTTTTATTTATATTTATATATTTATTTTGAAAAAATCTGGTTTTTCATTTTATTTTTGAATTTGCATACAACTTATAATTCAATAGAAAAAATTCTAATTTCCGGATACGCCAGGATAAGATACCATTTTTCTATCTTACGTCTTATTTTAAAATATCAAAAAAGATACCTATTCTTGCAGTGTAGTAGGGATTTAATCAAAAATAGTACAATATGAAATAAAAAACTGATTATAAAACATTTAATAAATTAAAAATAATAAATCTGAAATAAAAATATCGTAATACGAAGTAAGAATTAAAAATAATAAAAATAAATTTAACTTCAAAATGTTTAATTTTTTAATATTTTTTAAAAAAAGAGAAATTTTAAAAGAAAAGAAAATAAATCTGCATAATTTTGATTTGTCATTTGCAATTTTTTTTTGCAAAATTCTATATTTTTAAAAAAGAGAAAAAAATTTGCATAATTTTACTTTGTCAACTTGTTAACAATAATATTCCAAGTTTTCTTTAATTTTCTGAATTACTATTTTATGAATGATTATAATTTGCACCTCATTTCAAAGCGTACAACAATAAAATAAAATAATAAATAATTAATAAAAACATTTAATACATTTTTTATATTAATAAAAATTATTTTTAATAGGTAAATTAAAAAATATAAAATATCTAGTGGTAATCTTATTGTTCCAACTACCGTCTTAGATGGTTCATCTACTTTTTGGTACTCAATACAACTTTTTATAATAAGATGAGAATCTTTTGAATTATTTAAAGTAGTTGAAAAGTAATTAAATCTTCCGAGAATTTTTTTACTGAAATAAATAAATAAACTGAAATGACAAAATTAAAACTGAGCTCCGAACCCAATCTTTGCAAAAATTGAATAGAATAACTAACTAGGCATCACAGTACCTTATTTTATCATCAAAGAAGGTAATAAGATTTTTTTTCTTGAAAAAGGGGACAAAAAATATTATATTTTTTGTCCCCTTTGGTATATTATACCAAACAACAAATCAAAATATGTTAAAAGTTATATTAACAATGTATTAATATACAAATTTCTTACAGTTTTGGATTTTTTGATAGAAAATAACTTTATAATATTAAGAAAAATTTTAAATAATTAATAAAATAATTCAATTAAAGGGTGTCCGATATATCTTTTTTATAAACTTTTCTATTATATCGAAATGTTTTAGCCATTTAAGAAACTTGATCCAAAGAAATTAAGTCTTTAAAAAACCGCTGCCAAGTTAAAAGATGAATTTATTGTGTTCATTTCATGAACACTTTGCTTCCTCATGCAGTTTTTTTCGATCAATTTATTCCATTTCTTTATTATTACATAAATTTTTATCACTTTAAATTTTTCTGCAATTATAAAATTATTTATACTATAAATTTTTAAAATTATATTTTCCAATTTTCCATAATTTTTTGATTTTAAATAACAATAATTTCGTATTTATGATCGAATTCGGTTAAAAAAATAGGTAAATCAAAACGATTATTAAAGTTCTGCATGTTATTTATAAGACTTTAAAAACAACTTCCATATTTTTAAAAAAAATTTCAAAAATAAGACTTTCTTTACATTTTTTGGTTTTTAAAATACCAATAAGTTTGTAATTTCTAATCAAATTAGGTTCAAAAATAGGTCAATCGGAGCGTTTCTTAATGTTCTACAAGTTGCGACTATAGTTATGCGACTATTAAAGTTACTCATACATTTCTTAACAAAATTTTGGAAAAAGTCTTATTTTCCAAAATTGCCATACTTCCTATGAAGAAGCAATAATCAATTAACATTTAAAAAATTGAAATTCTTTTATTAATAAAGTTTTATAGAAAAGCAAATATTAATTTTCAAGAAAAAATATTTAAAACTTACAAAAATTTATTATTTTACAATTTGCACATGTAATTCAAATTTCTTATTTTATCGCTTCTATACAATTTTTTAAAAATGATTCGATTTTAATGTACTAATGTTTTTTTTTTAAGAAATGATTTTGAAAATATGCTTATTTCCTTAAAAAAAGTCAAAATTTTCTTTCAACCAAATAAACGCATATTTTCAAAATGACGTGCTTGTTTTAAAATTTTAAACGTTAAAGTTCTAGAGAATTGTTTTTTGAAGAAAATAAGCCATATATTGCATTAAAATTGCATCATTTTAAAAAAAATTCTGCAGAAGGATCATGTGTAAATTGTACAAAAACAAAATGAATTTTGATGGGCAATTTTTTTCTCGAAAATTGATACTTTTGTTTTTCCAAAAAATACTATTAATAATACTATTTTAATTGAGGAGTAAGTTTTCAAAACCTGATAAATCCAAATTTTGTCATTTCGAGAAATTTAAACAAATGACAATTTTTTCACATCACCATTATTAAAATTATCTTTAATGTAGAAAGATTGTTATAAATTATTCATTTTTGAATATTTTTTCTATTTAAAACGCTCCGTTTGTAATTAAAATCTATTATAATAAGGGAATTTAAAAAGTTTTTGGTAATTTTTTCTAATAAAAAAATTAAAAATTAAAATTAAAAATCATCAAGGTTAGGCCAAAATATTTTTTAAATTGAAAATTCTTTGGTAATAAATTTTTTTTCATTGAACAGTGATAAATCGATTTCTAAGGATTTTAATATTTCGAAAGTGTGTTTATCTCAATTTTTTGAAAAATGGATTTATCAACTTTTGAAAAATTGTTCCTCAATTATTTAAATTCTAATTAATTATTTTTCTAGAGGTCTGCATTCTGTTGGATGAACCATCTTAATATTTATAAAATTCTTTACGTTATAAATTTTATGATTACACTTTGAAAAAGGCAGAATTAGCATTTGTTTTGTTATACCTATATTATTCGAGGCAAGATTTTTAAATCATTTCATGTGATTCATCAAAAGTCTAAATCTAAATCATGTGAAAAAGAGCTTTACTTAGGACCCCTAATATCATTTTGATATTCAGGATATCCTTCGGATGTCCTAATAAATTCAGGAAATTGGAATTATAGTAATATTATTTTCCTATACAAGAATATAATTAATATTGTTTGAAAGTAGTCATAATAATGATGCACTTTAAATTAAAATATAGAGATTTCTTTTAAAAACCAAATTGAATTTTAAAAATGCGATGCATTTTATAGTAATACATAATTTTCTCTACAAGTATTATTGTTTGTTTAAAAGTAGTTTTCCTCTTTATAAACGTCTAAATAAAAATTTGGTTTCGCAAATAAACGGCAAACTGACTTCCCAATCAAATGATTTAAACCAATTTACTCTTCATTGTCACTATTTCCACAGTTGGATCATGAAAATTTATGCGAAATATAAAGTTTGAAATGAGTAATAATGAATAGCGAAACTAAAATGTATGGAACTTTTAATGTGTTTACTTTAAGTTCAATCCAAATTGTTCACGTCAAGTAGATGAGAGACTAAAGTAGATTGATCGAGACTTAACGAGAGCGGGATCTAGACCACATTTGCCAATACCGAGACTTGAAATTTTAATATTTGTCGAGAAATTTTCCATCGTTTCGTAATCTACAAAAACTAATTTTTAAGAAAAAAGTTTCTTTAAGAAAGTTAATATTTCGATTGAATATATATTATATAAATTACGCGAAACTTATCATTAGGACTAAAACTAATTAAGATTTAAAAATAGTATTAGAATGTTTGCTTCTTGAGTTTTAGAAATTATAAAAAAAAGTTGTCAAATAACACTGCGAGAGTATAATTGAAAATGTCCTTTTAAAATAAGAAAACCACTCACTTGGGAAAATTTTGAAAATGGAGGAAATCACATTTAAGGCGAGAGTTGATATTAGAACACGTCGCCGCGACGCACGTGATTCGATTGGTGGGTGGGCATTTCGCAACCAAACCATATGTATTGAAGAATACCGGTGAACTGTTCGGATCCTGACACTCTTCCGTCGAGTGCAACCGATGCAGAATCAGCGCGCAAGCTCCACATTCACGTGAGAAGGAGAGAAGCAAAGGAAACAGGATAGGCGCGAGAGAAATAAAAACAGGAAAAATGTTTAAAGGCGGGAAGAGGAAATAAGAGAATGATAAAAGCACGAGAGAGGAGAAGAGAGCGAAAAGCAAGCATGATTTAATCGCAAAGACAGAAGCGTTGCAGTTCTTGTGTCTTGGAAAGATAAAACCATTTAGGTAATTTGCACTGGAGACTGAAAACAAAGCGGAAAAAAAATTATGTAATTAAAAATTTTGAAATTGGTTCAACACAACTTGCAGACAGAGACAGAGTACCTACCAATAAAGAGTATAATATTCTGCTTTCAGAACTGACACATGCTTTTCTGGAAATATTTTATGTTACAGAATGTATATTACGTCCGTAACTTCTTTGTTGACATTCGCAAAGTACCGAAATCAACACGTATATGATTCAAGAAGCATTAGGCTAATGAGGTGATTTTATATAAAAAGCGGTAGCAGTTCTATTTTGTCAGACAGTATTTTTTGGAAATCAAGCTCAACACATTGTTTTAAAAAGTACATACTCAAGTACATCATTAAGAAGTTAGTGAACTACGGTATACCTTCAATTGTATTATTTTTTAAACGAACTTCGATTCAACATCTTATAAAATACACCAATTTTAAAAATACAATTTAATAATTTTCCTAAACTTCACACCTTTCCCTTTTTACTCTCACTTCCTACTTTCACTTCCCACCTTCCACTTTTCACACCCACTTTTTACTCCCACTACTCTCACTTCCGACACCCACTTTCCACTCTCACCTTCCACTTTTCACTCTCACTTCCCACCTTCCACTTCCCACTTTTATTTCCCACACTCACTTCCAACTCTTACTTCCCATTTCACACTTTCCACTCTCACCTTCACTTTCACTCCCCACCGTCCACATTCACTTCCCACATTCATTTCCCACACCCACTTCCAACTCCCACTTTCCACTCTCACTTCCCACTTTCCACTTTCACTTCCTGCTCCTACTTCCAACATTCTGTAACCTTTCCACTCCCCACTCACACTTCCCACCTTCCACTTCCCACTTTTATTTTCCACATCCACTTCCAACTCTTTCTTCCCATCTCACACTTTCCACTCTCACCTTCACTTTCACTCCCCACCTTCCACTTTTCACATTCCACTTTCACTTCCCACATTCATTTCCCACACCCACTTCCAACACCCACTTCCAACTCCCACTTTCCACTCTCACCTTTTACTCTCACTTCCCACCTTCCACTTTCACTTCCTGCTCCTACTTCCAACATTCTGTAACCTTTCCACTCACACTTGCCACCTTCCACTTATTGTATTCTACTTCCCACTCCACACCTTCCCCTTTTCACTCTTTATTCCCACCTTCCACTTTCACTTCTGACATCCACTTCACACCTTCCCCTTTTCACTTTCACTTCCCACTTTCACTTTTCACATTACACTTTCAACTCCCACATTCGCCAATTCTATTCATTTACAGGTTTTTATTTTTGTATATAGACAAAAAATGTTAACAAATAACTTTAAAAAAATTTACCCTTAGTGTCCAAATACAGTCAAAATCGTTAATCAGGTATTTTCATATAAAAGTGTGAGAGTGGAAGTGGGAAGAGAAAGTGGAAAATTGGAGTGAGAAGTCGGAAAAGTAGGAAGTGAAAGTGGGTAAGGAGAGTGAGAAGTGTGTAAAACTGAAAAGTGTCAGTAGAAAGTGGGAAGTGGTAGGTGGGAAGTAGAAGGTGTGGAGTGGGAAGTGAGAGTGAAAAATTGGTTTGGGAAGAGGAATGTAGGAAGCCAAAGAGGGAGTGATAAGTGGAATTTGGGAAGCGAGAAGTGATAGAGGGCAGTGAGAATGGGAGTGGAATGTAGGAAGTAAAAATGGGAAGTAGGAAGTGGAAGGTGGGAAGTGAGAATGAGAAGTTGGTCTGGGAAGTGGAATGTGGGAAGTCAAAGAGGGAGTGGAATTTGGGAAGTTAAAGTGGAATGTGAGAAGTAATAGAGGGCAATGAGAAGTGGGTGTGGGAAGTGAGAAGTAAGAGTGGGAAGTCAAAATGGAAGTGGAATGTGGGAATTGAAAATGGGAAGTAGGAAGTGGAAGGTGGGAAGTGAGAGTGGAAAGTTGTTGTGGGAAGTCAAATTCTGAGTGGAATGTGGGAAGTGAGAAGTGGGTATGGGAAGTCAAATTCTGAGTGGAATGTGGGAAGTGAAAGTGGAATGTATGAGTGGGAAGTGAATGTGGGAGTGGAAAATAGAATGTGAGAAGTGAAAGTGGGAAGTGGAATAGTTACAGAATCGACTTCCAGATCAAACACCAGCAGTAATTGTTATTCCTTAAAAGTAAGATTATTAATTTTAAAATTATTTCAATATACAGTAATCGAAAAACATCATTTGTATATTTGTCGAAAAATCTTTTCTAAATTATTAATTTTAAATATACTCATTGTATTATTGTCAATTCCTTGGTTTTTAAATATAATATTTTCTCACAACATTTAGTAGGCTCATTGACTTATCCTCATCCCAAATTAGATTCTTATTTCCTGAAACTAATTTATAACGAGGAACATAGGTATATTTAAGAAGGTTTCTTGTTTTGACTTAACAATGTATGACGAATTTTCAATTAACAAAACTACTTGGAAAATATTATAAATAAAAAACGTATATTAAACTTGAAATGAGTTTAACAATTGTTATATTGCCTAAATAGGTATAGCACAGTAACAATTTCATTCTAGAACAGAATGGAATTTAAAAAAGCTAATTGCATTTAAATCCGGAAATTCCCTTTTACTTTTAATTCCGCACGTAAAGAACAAAAGTGAGTAAAGTTCTTGAAAGCAATAAAAGAAATATTAGCAAAAAGAATAGACATCAGATTTTCTGAATGTAATTATGCAAAAGAAATCAGTTATTAAAATAAAATAGAAAAAGTATTTGCAAATCTCTTAAAACTTTTGTTTTTTGTCATAATTCGATTAGATTATGGCAAAAGTGTAAATGATGAATCTTAACACGTCATAAATCTCGATGATCGCAAGCCAAGCAATTTCACCATTCGAGCTGTATCAACTGTATATCTTAGGAATACGTTCAACGAACGTCAATGTATTTTTTGCCTACTGGAAAGTTAATGGATTTAAACAACAATTTATCTATTAATAGACTCAGCAGAGAAACAAATATAATATTTGATTACTATTCTTGTGATTACACTGTAAAATTCATTACAACATTGTTTAGATATATACTGAACTCTAATTTTTAAAGCGTCAACCTTGATATTGTACCTTTTTTATGCCTTACAGAAACTTTAAGAATATAGGAGTACTGATTGTATGAAATAGCTTGTCAATATGTGCAGAGAGAACATTCATTTGTTATTAAATTAAAAAATTAAAAACCAGAAAACAATAAAAAATTACGCCTTTCAAAATTTTCAATTTTTTAAATGTTTATAGGGTAACTGCACCAATTGCCGAGGGTGCTCCAATTGTCGAGGATAATAATTTTCTTTTTTAGATAAATAGTATAATATATAATATTTAAGGACAAAAAAAATTTCTAAATAATCTTTGTATTTTCAACTGTATATTTATATATACAAATTTCGTAGCGATTCTACTAAAATAATTATTTAATTAATATTATAATTCACTGCTGTGAAATTTACACGAATCTCCGTTTTCTTAATACTTCAGGTTGATTAAAAGAGATTTTTAGAAATGCAAATTAAACGTATTTATAATGACTTTTTGTGTACAAAATTATTATTATAATTTTGTACAAGAACCAAATTAATTTTGTATGCATGTTTTTTTGTTAAAAAAAATATTTAATATTTTTTAAAAGCAAATCATCGGTATTTGGTTCCTTTTTTTTGACAGTTCCATTTTTCGAGGTAATGACTCGAAAATTGGTGTAGTCACTTTTTTCGCTGATGTACCATTTATCGATGGTTAAGTGTTTATTTACTAAACGTCAAACATAAATGCCAAACATTTATAGGTACAGAGAAAAAGAAAAAAAATGCTCCAAAAATTTACAACCAACAGAAAATAATCAACCAAAAAAAACAAGGAAGACGGAAAAAAATTAATAAAAAAATGCATTATTTAAAACTAAAAAATTTTGTACTATAGTTTAATTATAATTAACCATTATATTTACAGTTCGTAATAAAAGTTTATTTTATTCGTTTACAAATTTAATGTGACTTAAATTAATTTATTTTTTCAATTAATGTCTGATTAACAAAATTGATTAAATTTAATTAACTTATTTATAAAAGTTTAAAAAACAGTTAAATAATTTTCTGTCCTGTATCATCTACTATAAAAATGTTTTATATCGATATTATAAATTATTTAATTATAGTTAAATAAATATATTTGTTTTCTGGTAATGTTCTATAATATTTTTATCGAAAAAATAAATATCTACTCGATTTTCTAATATCTGTACAGGTTAATTGTTAGGTTATATTGGGTTATATGTTTAAAAATGTCATACCCTCGACAATTGGAACAGACCCTCGAGAAATTAGCACAAGACCATCGACAAATGGTGCTTTTGCTCGATTGACTTTTAAATATATTTTTTGCTTAACAATTTAGTTTATATTAAAAAAATAAAAATGAATATTAAACATTATTAGATCCTTCGTCCAAATATACAAAAATCAAATTTTAAAGTGCATTTACTTCCGAGAAAAAAAATGTCAAAGTCACATGTTGCCTAAAACCCTCGACAATTGGTACAGTTACCCTAATATATCATTTGTTTCTTCGTCTCCTTTCATAAAAAAGTGATACGAAACTATTAAATTCAATTGTTTTAATTGTTATTTCGTCGAGAATTTATCGACCGTGTATTGCTCGACGTGCAACACTAGTTTATAAC